ATAAACATCAAATTACAAAATAAATATCAATGGATTTAATAACCATAGCAACTGTGCCTAAGGTCAATGTAATCAGATTATTATCAACAGTATTAATATTACTATTACTATTTCAATAAAGTGAATGGTTACACATAATGGATGCTTCATTTTTTTTTAATGAATTAATAAATAATCTTTATGATGATAAGTCGTAAAATAAAGTAATAAGACGAAACGTTCATCTTGTATTCTACTATTAAGCACCATGAGTTACATTGATGAAGAGTTATATACTAGGACGAAACGGTTGTTCAATGCTTACAGGTCTAGGTTAAGTTGACTCATGAATTCAATTATTAAAATTTATTTATTAATTGAAAGGAATATATGTTTTTTAATCTATCAAAGTTTATTTCTGTACTATGATGAGAGAGAAAAATATTCTCTACCTTACATTCACTTGGTATTGTTTACTTGTATCTTCCCATTGACTGCAACTGATCAGTCTCTTATTGGTTTTACCCAGTGCACAGGCATATAGCTATCAAGACTCAGTAGCTAAGTGGATAAAGCGATTCCGTTTAGAGTGAATAGTACTGGGTTAGAGTCCCAGAATATACATCAACTCTGAGATGAAGGTACATCCAACTGACGAATCCCAAAATGGGACAAAACGCGCGTACATCTTTGCTTATAATTCTCTACATTGTTTTAAGTTGATGAATATGAAAAGCTTAATAGCTATGAATAAGCTTTATTGATCATAGGATTAGATTATTTTATTGTAAATGGGTAAATTACAACAAAGATCCCAGTTATGGCATTTAAATTATTTTATAGACACATAGTGCATAAATATTAAAACCCTAAAATGACCTTGTATACCTGAAAGTGAGAAGGATCAGCATTCCCTTATGAACTGCTCTCATATGATCATGTATTTATAGCCACTACCAAGGAATTCCTGTTTACTGTCTTCTTATGGTGAAAGTACTGTTTACCGAAATGAGATGACAAAATGCGAACGTCCGATGCCTAACTCGGGTTGCTTAATACGGAGAATACATATTGAGTAGTTGGAATACCTTAATTTCTAACCAATAATGTGCGAAAGTTGTAGAATTTCAATGAAAACAAATGGTATATAAACCTATTATTGATCACTGACTTCTATGCGCATGGATCTCCATACGTTCTTCTACTACCTTATGGATTAAACCTTTAAATTAAAGAGTTGATGAGTAGTCGTCTAAGAAGACAACATTGATCTGTTTAGGTGACCGGATAGTATCATAGTACGTCTTCTATCTAAGCAACTCGAACAAAATTAACTACGCTCATTTCTAAACATTAAACATACACAAATGATCTTATCAGTAACTCAGCCAATCATGATCAGTGTAAAGTCTATCATGGTTCGATAACTGTTTGAATTACAACACTACACTCCAGAAAAGTAAGTGAAATTTAACAAAATGAGATTAGATCAGTAGTAATGAAAGTCTAAGCATTAGAATTACAGTTCAAAAAAGATATAAATCCTATTGAAGAATTGAAAGTCATGTATGATATGATCAGGTATAACGGCTCAACTATGATCAATTTCTAATTATTAATCTGTTTTTATTTAATCAATGAATTGAATTATGATATGAAACAAATTAGTTTATTCAAAGTTGAATTCACAAGTTAACCTAAGATAAACTACCACTGAAAACGTGAAAATACTGGAAGACCATTTCGTCGTAGTATGACATTCTTCCGTAGTGAGCACCTACGATCGTGAACACTGGACTCGAACCCATGACCTTCGGGCTCGCATGCGAAAACTTAAACTCTACACCATTGAGACAATATACAAGGGTGTTAATGGGTAAGTTCAATCGATACATGATCAAACACAACCTTTCATCCATTGTCCGAGGTGGATAAATGTCTTGCACCCTACATGGTTTAGTCTCCACTGGCCACGACTTCTTATTGGAACTGCAGGAAATCCATCTTGAAGCTAGTCACTAATGAGTTTATAATATCATATAATTTAATGTAAATATTAGTTGATTTAGCCCACTGTACATTTGTATGAAGAAAAATTTTATTATTGGCATTTTTTTGGTAGCTAATGGTTTGTTAAAGGAAAGATGAACAGAACAATATACCAATCACTCTAGTTGTTAACATTTTATGAGTGTATAAACGTACGCGACTGACAAGAAAATTTATGACAACATATGCACACATAATCTCTGGTAAACCCAGTGAATTTTCCTAATTTGAATCCTGAATGGTCAGTTCGTTCTATTATGAGACTTCTCAGTAGTGGCCATCCATGACCCCACCACAGGGAATCAAACCTAGGATCTTCAGTCTCACACTATATCAAGTGTGAGTAAGATACCGAAAAAAATCGGAGGTGATAGCTCAGTATCATGAATTGATTAAAATTAGACTTGGACATTACTTGATTTCGGCTTAGTGATCTATGGGTTAAGCATTATTACACAATTCTGTTCGTCCTATTTTTGTTCTACATTAGGGGTTCTTGGTAGTGTGCAGTTGAGGAGTCTCATGTGGGGGTGGAACGAATGTCCATTGCTTCCAGTTTTCCAATGATGATGATCTAGTTAAGATCAATTCATCATGCAAACTGTAAAAACCCTACAAACTTTACAAATACCCCCCCCTTCATACTACTATTGTATAAGAATACTTGTGATAATAAGTAGTTTTGTCGAAATTTAGACCTCATCAATAATACACATTCATTATGTTTTAGTGATAAGATTTACAATCAAATCTATATAAAATAGAACTTAATTAACTGCTAATTAAAGACTTTAATTAACACCTCATACTGTTATAATATGGATTCATCTCAATAGTAAACTATGTTCGGTCAGTCAATCATTTATTTACCATTTTAAATATCATATGGAACTTAAAAGTTAAAGACATTTGATTAATTGGACATGAAATAGTGAGCTTTCAATCATTTAGTTACAAAGTTGAATCCTACTTAAGATAAGATCAATAGCATTTAATTGAATACATAAAAGGTGTATATAGCTTAAAGCTTAGTAACTAAATTACAAATGAGAAAAATTGTTGTTACAATTAAATCATCTGATAGTGATAAAAGAAAAGAGAAAGTCAATAAACACATGTTTATAACTGTTCTTTATATACATAATCACATGAAGAAGATTTGTAGCTCAGAGAGATGATTTTGATGAAGTTCTGTTCTTTGAGCTAGATGGTTGAATCGTGAAGCTTTCAACATTCTTCTGAATAACATCATCAACTTCAGGTAGAAGTTTGTACTGATGATATCATTCAAAAGAATGATGAAAGTTTCACGACTAAACCATCCAGATCAGAGAACAAAACTCCATCAATATAATCATGTAGTCTAATCATTATGGTTTTATCTATGAAATTACAAAGAAACCATACTGATCGATACAGTGTTAAGGATAGAAAGGTTATTGTACAAACAGAAAATAGAAAATCAGTAATTATAAAGGAAAATATAAACTATATAAAATTTAGCTAACAGTGGAATCCATGATGCGCATTTGATCTTATCTAGGATTCGTCAATTGAATGTACCTATATCCTAGAGTTGACTTTCACCCAGTACTTTTGGCTTCAAACATCCAACATGTTATCCACCTAACTACTAAATCCGTATAGCCAGTTACATATGGGACTGATATGAATTTTGCTTTAATTTGTAATGGTTTGGACGAAAATTACATCCTGGATTCCACTGCTAACCACATTCTATCTATTCTATGTAAACTTGTGATATAATGAATAATAGTAAGGCGATCCGTACAGGATATACATAGATCAACGAAGAGTGATCAAAACTTAATCATAAATATCAGCAACAAGGTAACTTAATTTAAATTAATTCAACAAAATATTTGATATCGTTTGCCTTCCTCTTCTCCTCCTATAGGTCTGCTAATGAGTCTTCAATTATCATTTGAGACGTAGGGATTTTTTGAAGATTATTTTGGATTTGTAGTTGATATTCGTCATGAATTGACCTTAGTTACAGTATCAATGAAGTCCAGCGAACATTAGAAAGGCTTTACGTTCTATTATAAGACTTTTCAACAAAATAGAACAATAATACCTCCACAAAACTAGTTCAATAAGTTCTGATCTCATGATAAGCTTATAGCCTTTGGGCCACTAAGTTGACATTCACTAGTTTACAATCCCATAATTCTTGTGAAATTTGATTGGTGTATTATAACGATATTGGACATAAGACAAATTAAGGATTTATCACTATGACAGAAGTTATTAAGGTAAATCTGTAGTGATGTCATTGGTAAGTACTAGTTAAAGGGTTCCATACCAGCAAAAAACAGCTATCTCGTGCTCTATGATTTTCTCAATAGTTTCTCCTAGCCAAAATCAATTAATCAATCATATAGATAATCTCTAAAAATAAAGTGTTAAATCCATAAATAAGACTGTTTTGTGGTGTGGGTTTCTTATATCCATGTAAGTAGTATATAATAATGGTCAGTAGTAGATCGATAAGGAAGGGACAGGAACGGAATGCAATTAGTATATAAAAATGCATGAACAATGAAATCTGAGACAATGGACGATAGATTGATATTTGGCAAATGAACTATTTACTATATGGTTCTTAGATTTTAATGAGATGTTCTATCATTTCGTGTTCGAATACATTCGATTCTCCCCACTGGTGTTCTTGTTCACTATAGTTTTACTAATATTAGTATACAATTTGAAAAAAAACATGTTTGAGAAACACATTCCTGGATAATATAGAGAAAAATAAGAATACAACATTTTACTAAGATGAAATATCTATCCAATGCTTCCAAGTATTTAATGATGATCTAACTAAGATCAGTTCATAATCTAAAACAATAAGAATCCAACAATCTCCATGTATATATCTATATCAACTCAATTATAATTGAAACTCTCAAGAATAAATGTAGTATATATATATGCATTAGACTTACTATATTTACAACCTGGAGTAGCGCATAATACTTGTATATCAGAATGTAATGATTGTAGATCATTTTCATTAGAACAAACACAACATACATTTTTTGGTACTGCACATATATTCATAGATTGTTCTTGTTTTATATGACATTGTTGATAATCAATAATAGAATGTACTAATTCACCTCGTATATCTTCATTTATATTAGTTAAATAAGATAATGGATAAGATAAACGTGTTATTGGACAATATTCATTATTTATATTTATATGTTGTTGTTCTTCTGACATTTTAATTTACAATATAATTGAATAAATTTATACTTGAATTAAATCTATTTAACATCATCATTACATAATTGTCTATATTGAAAGGCAGTTGCCAACTATATTATAAATCATTTACATTCTTATTTCTTCTTTCTTTCTTTCTGTCGTTCTTTCAAGTTATATTATTCCATAATCTTAATCTTGAGAAGAAAAGTAAAATAGGGAAGTGGGTTTTTCCCCCCCCCCTTAAATTAAACGTATCTCTATAGAATATTAGTAATAGGTATCTATGTATGTATACAAGATGTTTGATATTCAAAATACTTCATTCTTGATTACATAATCGTCACCATCATGATCATCAGCATGATCATTATTATTCTTATTATCTCAATTTAAAGTACTTCAGATTTGTCCGAATAAAGGTCATATTTATTCTATACTGTACTTTCTAATTATTTAATCAGTTAATATACATAAAAAATTAACCAATAAGAATTGACTTCATAAAAATACAAATATATGATTGGTTAATTCAATAATAAATATTTAAAGGCAAATAACCAATAAGAATTCAGTAAATAGTTCATTTAACCAGTTGAAATATAGAGAAAGGTTATTTATTCATTGTTCTATTAGATTATTCAAATAAAGAGGTTTGAACATGTTGAATCTCTTTTTTTTTTCTTCCCTCTAATAAATTTTACTTTTATGATTTATATTATCAATCAATGAATTAAACAAAGATAGAATTTAGGATGAGAATTTCATTCTGTTTAGGATTTATCAGTTAGATGTATTTATATCTAAGAGTTGATGTTCACTATAGGACTCGAACTTAATAATGTTTACTTTAAATGACATCATGTTATTCAATTATTTATTAAGTCCTAAAATGAACTATACAGAGTTTGAGTCTCAAAGTGAACATCAACTCTGAGATGCAGATATATTCAGCTGACGAGTCTCAAATAGGATGTAATGTGCTTCCTGGATTCTACTGCTAACCACTATCCATTTTTGCCTAGATTACTTGTGAAGTAAGGCAATATCTAGGCTATATGAACAGTATGTATATATGCCAATTGAAATCCTAAATAACAATGAGAAGATACATGTAAAAAACACCAAGTGAATTTGAATCAATGAAATGTTTATTTTTGAACGAATTATGTGTTTACTAGTGATATTTCTGAAATTCTATTGGAAATTGAGATTAGCGCAGTTCAAATATGTCGAGTATAAAACCATTACTCATAGAAGACGATAGATGTTAATGGCATGGTATCATGACCTGATTAAAGTTAGATGCATATACTGTTGGGAATTGGTTTAGTGACTTAGAGGTTAAGTGTTTTCGTGTTAGCTCGAAAGTCCTATGTTCGGTCCTCTAACAGGATAATAAATTAGTACTGCTTAGGAGTTCCATACAAGGAAGAAATAATAATAAAAATAATAATCCCCACAGCCCCTATACTGGTAATAAACATGTGATCACTACTGACTAACTTTGTGAGGGGATTCTCGGAGTTCTAGTGAGAAGCCGTGACCAGTGGAGCTAATCCGTGTCGGGTAGTGACAGGTATCTATCACAGTACAATGGAAGATGGTCGCGCACTTTTGTGAATTGGTTGATGTTAGACACTAACACCATTGGATGTCGGCTCAGTGATGCAGTAGGCTAACCGTTCGCGCGCGAGACTAAAGGCCCTGGGTTCGAGTCTCGCCAGGTGGGATCGTGGATGCGCACTGCTGAGGAGTCCCACAATAGGATGAAACGGCTTTTTTTAGGTTTCAAATGGTGTGTAAGATCAATCGGTTAATGATTTCAATAAAAAGAAGAAATACCTGTTCAATGTTTCTTGGTTTCCAATGGGTATCTAATATATGTCGATTTGTGGTATCAATAAGATTAAAAAATTTACACAATTTGAGGGTCATTTTTCTGTCATCATGAAAATTATAAGTGTATAGTAGGTTGGATATAGATAAGCTACAGCTCGAGGGTTAATTGCGATCAGCGAACTTATTTAGGAACTTACACAAAAGCGGCTTAAAATGAAATAATTTGAAACTATTATAAAGACACTAAGGACCATATAAACAACCTGGGAACCGTATTACGAAATCCAACTCAATCCACCCTATAAAAATCTTTGGAAAATGCATAGCCCTCGATTGCCGTGATACTGCCGAGAGTGAGGAGATTCAGCTGTCCCTCTCCAAATGCTCTCACATAGTCACATGTATAATGCCACTATCAACGAAGTCCTACTCACTGGGTACTCACACCACGGGTGTTGCTTAACCGGTTTAGTAGACATGAGTGACCCATTTAGAGAAGTTGGAAAATCCTGATTTCAAACCAATCGTGTACATGGGCTTCAGTATTCTGAAGGAAGAAACGGCTTATGAATCTATTGTTGGTCACCATCTACCATGTGACTGCATCACCTGACGTTGCTCCACTGCCTTGTGGATTAGACCTCTAGGTCAGTGACTCGAGGTGATTGCCCCTAATAAAACCACCTGATTCGTTTTGAGCACCTAGACAGTATCACAGCCCACACACAAATTGAATGATTTACGTGGCGCACATCTATTTGATGCCTCTTTATACCAGTGTTTATATGTTTAAATAAATGACAAATAAATAAGAAACTAATTTACAGTCATTCCTTGAACCTAAATACTTAAATCATCGCACCGGCATTCATTCAGTAATATATATATCAGTCAGATATTATAATAGTTTGTCAAGAAGTGTGGAAGATCTCAAGGCATTTCGATCACGATCATGATATTCCGTAGATCCAATACGTCATACCTAAATAACATCTCTCTAAAGACAGCCAAAAGTACCCTTTACTTATATTTTATTTGAATCATTTAATAATAATTTGATAGTCAATACAAAAATATCATACTCAAATCCGAAAGCAAACTATGATCAACCTACCATTCAATCAACCATAATTTAAACTGAAGAAATGAATGAATAAATAATATCGCCTTGGAACTGAACGATCATTGTTACCAGTAAAATTGCAGAGAACAAGTAGAGGGTTACTGAATAATTAGCTAAAGAATGATGATCAGCAAAGGATAATCAGTACGTTCAGCTAAAGAAATTATGGTAAACACATCCTTTATAATTAAACTCAAATGTTCAATCAGCACATATGATCAATGAAGTTGTCGCTAATATCTGAATGCATTAGATTCAGTCATATATGTTATTAAATGAGTTCTAACGTCATTATGTATAGTTCTATCTAATTTCTAACATCTCTAATTGTAATTCTTAGTGATTTGTGTTTGGTTCGAATAGGGAGTATTAATTCTCACATTGACTATGAGCGCCTAGCTTCAATTGACTCATAAATCTCAACCATTGAAATTAGCACAATCTCCACAAAACCCCCTTCTGATATTAATGAACATATGCTCACTAGTGACTGGCTTCAAGATGTATATCCTAGAGGTTTAGTGACCAGTGGAGTTCAACCGGGTGTGTTGTGAGATAGTAACTCACTTAAGACAATGGTGGATATGTCGCTCAATTTTATGGATTAGTTGAATTTAAGACATTAACACTATTGGATACCGGCCGGTTAAGTAGTCCAGAGGTTAAGCGTTCGTGCGCGATACTAGTAGATCCTGTGTTCGAGTCTCGCCAGGTGGGATCATGGATGCGCAATGCTGGGGAGTACCACAGTGGGACGAAATGTCCGTCCAGTGTTTCGAGGTTTTCCATAGTGGTCTAGCTTCACTTGACATTCTGTAACATATACGATAACGTCTCTGGTCACTGTGTTACAACATCTATAGAACCCCAACCAAGGAGTAGTGAAGGACCGACAGAAACCAGTCCTGTACAGCTTTCTTCCATACCACCACACCATGTCATACACTGACCACCTCTCTTTTTCCAACATCATCCCATTCTCTGAAACGACATTCATAGAACAAATTCAAGACCCCGAAGTCGATGTTTCAAAATAGTGACACCAATTGAACTATCGTCAACGTGCCTGAACACACGATACCGATCCTCTGCATTACTAACACAGTGTCGCCTCTGAATGTCAGTAATCTTTCAGAGACAATGATAATCAAACACATAGAGTCGTCTAACATCCTCAACTCGAAGAGATCAGGTTTCACAAGTATAAAGTATCATATAAACATGTATTTGAAATTGACAATTAAACTTTAGAAAAAAAACAACTAATCAATGTCACAAAACAAGGCCAAATTGGATATTGAAAAAATACATTTCCAATCAATTAAGTGATCTTACTTCAGTCATTTTGTGTCAACATTCTTTTACAAATTCATTAATGAAAAAATAATTTGTATCCATTATGTTAATGATATAAAAGTTGGATACATCAAGACTTTACATTAAAATTTCAATAATTCAATATGGATGGTAACTAGCAGTAGAATCCAGGATGCACGTTTCGTCCTATGTGGGACTCGTCAACTGGATGTACCTACATCTCAGAGTTGATGTTCTCTATGGAACTCAATCTCGGTACCGTTCACTTCTAATGCCATCATGTTATCCACTCCCCTACTGAGTCCTGATAGCTACTTGTTTGTACAATCGGGTGAAGTTTAAATTCACTTTGTATTGTTTAGTTACATAAAATGCTTGTGAATTAAGGCTATATTAAGCCAATATGCACAGTATGCGGATTTGCCAATAAGAGAGAGAGAAATTGATCAATTGCAGTCCTAAACACCAATGGGAAGATTCAAGTAAAGCAATACCAAGTGAGTTTTTCTCATTGATTACATAATTGAAGATGAAGAAGAGGAAATTTGAAATGTGAACAAAAAATCTTTCAAAGAATTTATGTCATAATCATGTAGAGATTCTAACCAATCAAACTTAAAGAACATTGTAGAAGATATTCTTTTGGATTGAATTTCAAATGCGTTTTTTCTTAGTTAACAATTGATTCATGAATGTATCAAGGCGAAAAAAACACTTTTTGAGACCCCTTAATGTTTTCGAACACATTTTGAAGTATTCATCATTGGTTATGTCAAATGGTGAATGCAGAACATTCAAAAGTTTTATCTACTAGTTGAGATCATTAATCAATTGAAGCTAGACCATCATGGAAAACCTGGAAGTACTGGACGACCGTTTCGTCCTAGTACGAGACTCCTCAGTAGTGCGCATCCACGATCCCGCTAGCCCAGGACTCGAACCCAGGACATATCAATCTCGCGCGCGATTACAGATTCACTATATGTTGAGGATGTTAAATCTCCAGAATTCACTTGGTAAATACCTTATTTTTGTAATTCTATTTTAAAAATTTGAATTTCTTGTTTTCGCGCGAAAAAATAGTTCATTTTCACCTTCATGCAGTGTTTCCCACTTGGGAGGAACTTAAATGTCCTTGGTTTGTTATCTCTTTTAGTATGCTATTCTGTATCTTTTTCTAAGGATATTTTTATGTTGTATATATATAAGCTTGTTTTGTGCTTATTGTTGTTGCTTCTGACTGCTTGTGAAATATATTTCCCTCCTTTGAACTTAGAATTCTTTCTCTAGTTAGTGAGACTGAAATGCATCAGAATAGTTAGCTAATTGGTTATTGTGTCACAGAGTTGTTGTTTCGTTCTCAGATTAGTTGATCTCATAATCTATTCAAACACTCTATTGATTATTAAATTAAACAAGTTCACTTTGGGAAATTTGTCTATGTACACAAATCTAACCAAAAAATGAAGTGGCATCCAAAGACCTTCTAATATGATTTTGAACTATACAAACATATATATTATGAGCAGATATAGATAATGGCTAACAATGGAATCAAGAATGCGTGCTTCACCAGGTGAATATCAACTCTAAAATATAGGTATATTCAGATGACGAGTCTCAAATAGGAAGAACTGCACATCTTGAACTCCACTTCTATCTATCACCCATTTCTACTTTTTGTGACTTAATCGCGATATAGAGCCAATTTGCACAGAGTCCTTATATCCTAAAAGAAACTGATCAATCAAAGTCCTAAACACCAATGGGTATATATATATATATATATATATATATATATATATATATATATATATATATATCAGTCACTCAGCAACAATTTAAAACTTCTTACGTACGTACATCAGTTAAAGTTGTCATAGCACATTAGAACAGAGATTCAGTTGTCGATTCAAATCCCATGGTGGTAGAGTTAGTAAAAGCATAGGCAGTAATCAGAAACATTAGGGTTTATAGATGTTATTCAAGGAGTATAATCCAGTGAAATAAATTTGGAAAGAGAAAAAAAGGACATGAGGAACTCAGAAGATTAGAATTTGGGAGAACACAAAGAGTGGATGCATATGCGCCATTGCAAACAATTTTGAGTTATGTTATTCAAGGTCTCTAACCATCGGTTGCTATCCCAACCAAAGTAGTTTTCATCTACCAAGATGACTCAATCCATTTGTCAGTGACTTCATGGATTTGTGCCATGTTTTGGTCTGGCTACCCATAGTTTTTTTCCAACCTAATCCTAAACCAGAAAACATCTCACGTCGAGGCAGTCGGTGGTTCGGCATACGTAACACATATCCCAGCCATCTCAACTGATGAAGTTTTAATACGTCATCAATCGATTTACCATCCTTACCTAGTACCCGTTTCCTAACAACTGCATTACTTACTCGGTAACCACAGGATATACGAGGAAATCTTCGAAGATACTTATGATCGAATACTAGTAACTTACGAATATCCTCTAGTCTCATCGGCCATGTTTCACAGCCATAAAGTAGGACAGAACAAAGTACTGTGCAGTAAAATCATCTTTTGGTTGGTAGATGGATATCTCACCTACATCATAAATAACGCAAGTTGGCAAAAGCTAGTCGAGCCTTTTGTATCCGTGCTGAGAATTCGTCACACATCAGACCATCAAGGCTAATGAAACTCTCAAGATAAGTGAAGCAATCGACACACTCAACTATTTCACTCCTTATCATTAATTCAGATATCGATGCAACCTAATCCTAAAGCAACAGAGAGAGAGAGAGACACAGAGACGGAGAGATTCACATGCCGAATATACATGCATTATTGCTTAGAATGGTCAGAAGACTCTCCACATTTTGTTAGTGTCTTCATCACCAAATAGAACTATATCATCAGCATATTCCAAGTCAACAACAAGTGAATTATATATATATATATATATATATATATATATATATATATATATATATATATATATATATATAATGATATGATAGCCATACATAGGAAGTATGTATGATAAGGGAGATAACTTTAACCTATTACATAATGAGGCCTATATCAATCATAGTTCACATATTCATTGGATATATATATATATATATGCACTTTAAAATTATTTTTTTTTATTATTTTTCATCATTAAAAGTACGCCCCAAAAAAAATTGTATATTTGTAAACTATTTAAAGAAATGATATAAAATAAAAGTTCATTCTTATGTCCTTTAATCAGTTAGATACATAGAAAATCAATAATGACCTTAACATTAATCATAAATAAATTGATTATTTATTTATTAGTTTAGTAGTTTATTGATTTTTGTTTTGTTTCTATGTTATAGAAAAATATTAGAAGGTGGAGGGGGGGGGGGGAAA